AAATAATAAATAATTATTATATATATATATATATAAATAAAAAAAAATAGTATATATATATATATAATTAAATATATATTTAATTTATATTACTTTATACATATTTTTTTTATTATAAAATTTTTTAAAGAACTATATTGTATTAATTACTAATTATATTTAAATTAAAAATTATAAAGATTAATATAAATAATATCTCATTCCCATAAAATAACATTATAATCATTACTTCCACTAACTAATATATTCTCATTTTCTATATAGCAAACACATCCAACCGCCCCATTATGTCCTAATAAAATTTATAAAGGCTTTACATTACTTTCTTAATCCTACTATTATGAATTCTCTAAATCTTCTATATTATCATAATCCCATATTTATATTATAGAACTACCTAAACCTGCTGCAAAATAGACATTATCAATTTTACAAATTGAATAAATAGTCTCATTTGGTATTTTTATAACATTAATAAGTAAAAAATCACTATAATCCCATATTCTTATTGTTTAATCCCCAGAACCCGATGCAAGTAATGTATTTTTTAAATATGAAATGCACAAAACAGTTTATTTGTGTCCTTTTAAATGTCCTATTATTTATTTTTTATCGAAATCATAGATTTTTATGCTTGTATCTTTACTACAAGAAGCCATTAAAGATTCCTAATGTAGTAATATTATCTAATATATGATTCCATCATGTAACTAATTTAATAAATTGACTTATACTCCAGTTTACCAATCCCATATATAAACAGAAGTATCACTAGTAGAGGCTAATAAAGTCTCATTTATACATATAAGTGAATTTGGGTATGCTTTTTATCCTTTAATAATTTATACTAATTTTTATGTTTCCCATATATATACTCTTATGGTCTTATCAGATAAGCCTAAAGCTATTGTTTCAATATTTAGTCTACATATGGTTAGTATTTGAGTTTTTTTGTTAATTATGGTTATTTATTAAAGCTTTTTTTGAGTTTTTGTTTCCCATATTATACAATCTTTATCAGAACTACATGTTGCTAATATTCCTGTGTCTATTTTTTCGATTTTATATATCCAACCTTTATGGCCTGTAAGTCTTTTTTAATTAAGGGGTTTAAATGGAAGAATTATATTATTTCTTTTTGTATTATTTGGAGAACTTTAATCTTTTTGGTTATTTATTTATTTAAATATCTTAGTTATTTTTTAGTTTATTGTATTTAAGTTTTTTTACATTTGAGTTATGATTTTTTAAAATATTAAGTCTGAATTTTAATTAATTTATGGACTTTTTTAATTATTGTTATATATATTAATGGCTATTTCTAGTTCTTTTTCGTTTTAAAAATCAATTGTTTATTATTAGAAATTAAATAAATTTTATTTAATATTTTCATTTAAAAAATGATCTTTTTAAGCTTATATATTCATTAAATTTATATTTTATTATACAAATTCTTCTAGTTTTAATTAAAAATAAGATTCTAGTTTAATTTTTTCTTATAAAAGTCTATTTTTTAATTCTTCTTTTTTATTTTGATCTTATAATTTTAATATTTAAAGGCTTTTTTATTATAAAATTTATTTAAAATTATCAATTTTGACAAGTTCGTGTTTTAAATGAGGACCTTCTACATGACATTCTGCGCAAGCAATTTTTTAGGGAGTTTAACAATCTATAGATATACAAATATATTTATTTTATATATTATGTATTATGCAATTTTAAGGATAATTATCCATTTTTGTTTTTGTTTTTTTTTAATTTTTTAACAAAAAATAAAAAATAAAAAAAATATATATTTATTAAATATATATATATGTAATATATTTAATTTTATTGTTTCAAATTTAAAAAGGAAAAATTTCACAATTTTCAAATTAATGTATGTAATTCGTAAAAGTATTTAAAAAATTAAAATGAGAAACTAAAATTATTTTTTCTTTTTTGAAATCAATATTGTTTTCTTTTATATATTATTTTATTATATTTTTTATCTTTTAACATCTATTTTCTAAACTTTGTTTATTTTCTAAACTTTATGGATATATTTAGACGATTTTTTCAAATAAATCTAAGTTTTTTTCATATAAAATATTATTATTTTTTACGGTATTTTTCTCATCATCATCAGTAGTATTTATTTCTGCACTTTTTTCTGTATTTTATCCTTTCGTGTTTATAAAAAGCTCTTTGTTTATATATTCAATTTACCAATTATTTTCATTTAAAAAATATTCATATGATAGGTTTTCTATATATACATCTTTTTTAGTATTTTAAAAATCTGATATATCACAAACTTTACTTAAAATTTCAACACAATCAGGTAAAATTACGAATTTTATGTTTTTATTATTATTTTCGAATAATATTTTTGCAGTTTTTAAAGCTCTTTTCATTGGTGAAACAAACACTGTGTGAATTTTTATATTTTGCAAAAATATTCTATTTTTAATGCACATTTGTACCCCTATTTCATGTAAATCACAATCTATGAAGTCTTTTTAGTTTAATACTTCGAAGTTTGTACACCCTGTTTCATAAAAATATCTAAAATATGCAAAATTGTAAGTACTTAAAGCATGTCTGATTAAAAGAATATTTTTTTAGGGATCTTCAAGGTCACTTACAGGCTAGAATTACATACAAAAATTATATTTAAAAGAGTCCTCAGGTAAATGTTGGAGGAGGTTTGTGATTTTCAAAGAAAAATTTTATATTGGATTAGAACGGGGGATTATGTGAAATTACGAACATTCTTTTTGCGGTTTTTAACATTTACCTTGTATATAGTTTATACATGTTTTTTATTAAATCATTTATAAGATATTAATGTAAAATTAGTAAATATTATAAATATACATTATATATATATAAACATATATATATATATATATTTATTTTTTTGATTTTAGTTTTATTTATTTTTAGTTTATATTAAAATTGTAATTTTAATTAAAAATAATTAAAATATATCATTTTTCTAATTATTTAATATAAATTAAAAGTATAAATGTAAAAAAATAAAATTAATAAATTTTTAATTTATATCATATAAAAATAATAATATAAATCAAAAAAAAAATTATTATTTATCATTCAATAAAAAAAATAAAAGTAAAATAAAAATGATTAATACAGTATTATAATAAAAAAATATCGAATAAACAGACGAAGAAACTGTATTATATGAAAAAAGGCTTATAAAAAGTTAATCAAACATTGATACAGAAAAAAAATATAAGATTTCAATAAAAGATATTCAAAAACAAAACATAAACTATAAAGAGGAAACTTAAAAAAACTTTTTAAAAAGAGGATCATTAAATTCAGATAGATTAATAAATATTTTTAACAATAAATTGCCGAAAATGATATTAAGTCAAAAGGATTAAATGTTAATTGATATATTAAAATAAGAAAATGTTGATTTATAAAAAGAAGAAAATTAAAACGTATTTTATATATATAAAAAACAAATTTACTATATTTTATTTCATTTTTATCAATTTTTATTATAAATTTATAAATAAATAATAAAATAACTTTTTATTTTGTTAATATATTTAAAAAAAGAATGTATATAAAAAAAAAAAAAAATTATTAAATATATATATTTATATATATATATATATATATATATGATATATATTTATATACATATATTTTTATATTTAACAATAAATAATTACTATTTTTAATTATTATATATAATAGATAGCTATATATACATTAAGAAAAAAATTGAAAAATCAATTAGAAATAGATTTTTTACATAACATATTTAAAAACATAAACTTTTTTTAAGATTAGAATAATATATTTACAAAAAATGACAAATAAAATTTCGTTAATATAGCAAATTAATTGACGACTAAAGTATATTAAAAGCATTAAGTATTATTTAATTATGGAGATGTTGGAAAAGATTTATATACTCTTATTAAAGGCAATAAATATAAATATAAATATATATATATATTTATATATATATATATATTTATATTTATTTTATATTATTTATATTATTATTTATGTATATATATTTAGGGTCAATATATTGTTTAATACCCGATCCTTTATATAATTATGATAAAGAAGATTAATTAAGTCATATTTAAGAAATAAATGGAGAATCATAATAAGAGAAAGATACTAGAAAGTTTTTAAATATTCTTACAAAAAATACTATTAAAAAAGAAACAGTCGAAAAAAATGTCAAAGGATTTGTTTATAAAATTAAGTAAAAATTATATATAAAAAAAGCTAAAAAGTCTTTTTAAAAATTGTAATTGTAATTTTTTTTTCAACCTTTATATGTTTTACTTATTAATATTAATTATATATTATAGATTATAAAAATATAATAGTCCAATAGATGAAATATGTAACGATTAAAATGAAAATAATAATACAAAGGATGAATTATTATTTTTAAAAGATAATTATCCAGGTTTTATTCTAGTAAAAATTTTTGTACCTGGTGACTCTTTTGGTGAAATATCTTTAATTACTTCTAAGGGAAGGTAAATTTAAATATAGAATAAAAAAGTATAAAAATATAAAAATATAAAAATAATTAAATAAAATTAAAAAAAATATAAATATAAATTAATAAATACATATACAATATATATATTTATATACATAATTTTATATTTATTTTTTATATCTTAAACACAATAATTATAAAAATTATTTATTTCATTTATATTTTTTTTATTTTATTGATTATTAAAAAATTTAATGATATAAACATAAACATCATTATAATTTATCTTATTCATATTATTATTTTTTTATTTATTATTATTAATTTATTTTAATATAAACCTATTTATAAAAAACAATTTGAAGTTATTTTCCAATTTTTTTTCATAATGTTTTTTGATTTTATTTAATATAATTACAGAATTAAAAATTTTTTAAATTTAATACATATATAAATTTATTAGAACTGCTACTTTGGTATCAAAAGAAGAATCTCACGTTATGATTTTAAATAAAGCTTCATTTGATAAAGTTTTGGGTAGTATGTAAAAAACTGTATGGAGGGAAAAAATAGATTTTCTATCTTCGTTTTCTTTTTTTTCAAATGCACCTGATAGAAAATTGTATTAAATTATACATTAAATGTAAATAATTAAACTAAAAATGAGAGAACCTATTTATTCAGAAGGAGATACTTCGAATTTTTTTTATTTAATAAAAGAAGGAGAATTAGAATTATAATAATAATATGAATAAGTGGAATAATTAACATAAAAATATAACGAAGATTAATATAATAATGTATATAAATAAATATTTTTAAATTAATAAAAAAATATTATAAATATATAATTAGTAAAAAAATACTTATACTGAATTAGAAAAATTAAAAGTGAAAAAAAAAACTATAATTAAAAAATTAGATATAGATTAAAAATTATTGGTAAAGGCAGTTATTTTGGTGATGAAGAAATCGTTTAAAATATAAAATTTAGATAAAATAAGGCTATATGTTATAGTTAAGAGGCTATACTTTATTAATTCGAATAAAATGTAAAATATTTAATAAACATATTTATATAAATATATATATATATATATATATATATATATATATATATATATATATATTTATTTATTTATATTTTTTTTTATATTTAATAAAAGGATATTTGTAATGTTTTTGGATATAATTTTTTCGAGAAACTAAAAAATTAAGTATATTTAAAATAATAAATTAAAAAAGAAAGATTAATAAATTTAGCTAAAATGTAAATTCCATAAGAAGAATAATAAAATTTTAATAAATTCATTTAAACATAAGAGTTAAATAAAGATGATAATAATTCAATAAATTCCTTTTAGTAATAATTAAATAAGCATTTTTCAACTGAAAATGATGAATTTAATAATAATGAAAGTTAATAAATTTAAAAAATATTAGAAAATCATAAAGATGAGTTTAATTAAATTAATAATAAATTAAATAAAAATTATAAATAAATTAGATAGTCTAATTTTGATTTAAATGATTTAAACTTATAGTAATAAGCTTTTAAAAAAAATAAAAATAATTTATTTAAAAGAAATTCACTATAGAATAATTATTTAATAAATGATATAGAACATAATAATTAATAAAAAATATTTCAGTCGTTAATAAAAATAGAGGATAATATGTAAAATTAAGAAGATGTATGGATAGAAGATTAAAAAATAAAATTATAAAGAATCAAAGCAGAAAGTCAAAATGATATAAAATTTCAAGAATTTAAAAAGTCTGTTATAAAAAATTAAGATAATAATAAATTAGTAAGATAAAATAGAAATAGTATTATTTAAAATGTATAAAATAAATAATATTATAATTAAAATACTTAAAAAAAATTCTTAATTAAAAATATATTTAATAAATAAAATAATAATAATAATAATAATAATAATAATAATAATAATAATAATGATATTAATAAATATATTAATAAAGATATTAATAATGAAGATATTAATAAAGATATTAACAAAGATATTAATAAAGATATTAATAATGATATTAATAAAGATATTTATAATAACGATATTAATAAAGATATTAATGATAAAAAAAATAAAGAAGATTATAGTTAATAATAATATTCATATAAATCTGATTATTAAAATAAATTAGATTAAAAAGAATAAAATTTAAATATATTAGAATGTGAAAAATATGATAACATAAATATTAATAGTTAATAATTATTTAAATAGTAGTAATATTAAGTAAAATATATATAAAATAAATAAATTACAGAAAATACATAAAATATTAATTCAGAATAAGAAATTAAAAATAAATTATTATTATTAATTTAAAATCAATAAGAAATAAAATAATTCCTAATAAAAAATTAATTCTAATCTATAAAAGAGAGAAGATAAAATTCTTAAAGTCAAGCTCTGTTAAGAACATATTCTATATAAAATTCCGACTATATAAATACCAAAAATTCAATTAATGTAAATAATTTAACAGAAAACGATTCATTTTTAATAATGGGATTATCCCAAAAAAAAAAAAAATTTTAAATTAAAATAAATAAAAACAAAATAATTTCTTAAATATATAAAATAGAATTCTTTAAAAAAAAGAAATATAATAACATTAATCCGTAACTAAAAAATATAATTCCTATTAAAAAATATAACATGATATATAAAATAAACTTTTACTTTCTAATTTATTATTAAATTAAAATAATTATTCTTATTAAATTAAAATATCAAATAAAAAAGATAAATATAATAAAAATGCATAATCAAATATTTAAGTTATTAATAATTAATAGAATATTTGTAGTAATTTAAGTAGTGAAACTAGTATATAGTATTATACAGATAAATAAAAAATTAATTATGATTAAAATAATAAAATTAGTAATTGAAAAAGTTAAAAATATTATTAGAAATAATATAAATATTTATTTATTTAATTTAATTTATTTAAAAAAAAAAAATTAAATTCAGTTATGTTAAAAATATATATATATATTATTTATAAAAGTAAAAATTTTTAATTTTTTAATAGTCTATAAATATAATTCTAAAAAAAAAATTGAACAGTTAAAATTAATAAATATATATTATATATAAAAATAATATTAAATTTTATTTTTACGACTATAATAAAATAAATTTTTTAATATAAAAATAAAATAAAAATATAATAATTTTTTTAATATAAAAATAATATTTTATTTATAATAAAAATGAATTCAAAAAATATATATAAATATAAATATTTTTATATATTTATATATATATATATATATATATATAAATATATATATATATATATATATATATTATTATTTATGTATAAACTTATTATATTATTTTTTTTAAAAAATTTATAAAATAATAGTAAAAATATAATATATAATTTTAAACATATTCATATTATATTTTTTTATTAAATTATGCATTTTAATATAATTTTTAAATATAATAATTAATTAATTAAATAAAGTTTATTGTATTATAAAAAAAAAAATATTTTTAAAAATTTTATAAATATTAAAAAAATAATCATTATATATTTAATAGATATACATATTATTTATATTTATTTTTATATTTATATATAAAATATTGATTTACAATAATATTTATATATTAAAATTTTGAAATATAATAATATTTATTATTTTATAAATGTATGTTTCATTTAATATATTTTGCTATTTTTTTTTAATACTTTAAATTTAATATTTTTTTTCCATTTAATGTTTACAAATATAATATTTTTAATATATATAAATTTTTAAATATTTTCATATTTTTTTATTATATGTTTTTATTTATAAATCTTTATTTTAATTTCTAAAAAAAAAGAACCGAAAAAAAAAAAATCTTTTTTATTTTTATATTTAATAAATTAAAACCACGCGCAAAGAATTTAATTTAAAAGATTTTTTTCAATTAAAATTAAAAATAATATATATTAAAAAAGCTAGTAAAAATAAATAAAAAACATATATATATATATTAATTGGGAAAAATGGAAAAACAAGAGAGAGATAAAAAAACAAATAAAGATTTAAAAGTAAAAAATATAGAATTCATAGGCGAAGTTCTAGAAGTACATTCTGGAGATTCTTTAACAATCTAATCATTAAAAACAAAAAACGTAGCACGATTTTTTTTAGTAAACGTACGTGCTCCCTAATTAGGTACTTAAGAACGTCCTCATAAACCTTGGGCATATGAAAGTAAAGAATTTTTAAGAAAGAAATTAATTGGTTAAAAAGTAGATGTAATATTTGAATATGAAAAAATGGTTAAAATATAAAAAGCATGGGAAGAAGAAAATGAAGCTTAAAATAAATAAATGAATTTTGCTACTGTATTTTTGTAAGATACAAATATAAATGTAATATAATATAAAATTAAATATATAAATATATAAATATATAAATATATAAATATATATATATATATATATTTATATATATATATTTATATATATTTATATATATTTTATTATGTATAGAAATTAATCCTTTAAGAAGGATACGCCTTATTAAATCCTGCAAGAACAGACGATGAAAAATCTCAATTTTATCAAGAATATACATAAGCTGAAGAAGAAGCTAAGAAAAAATTAAAACAAATACATTCTTCTAAACAAGCTCCTATTCATTTATTTAACGATTACTCAAGGGTTAAAAATAAATAGAAATTAAATGAAGCTTATACATTCTTGAATTCGTAAAAATTAAAAATATTCTAATATATATATACATTAAAATAATAATCAAAATAAAAAATACTAACATAATGAATAATAAATAATTAATATTTATATATAAAAAGAACTCCAAAATTAACCGGTGTAGTTGAATTAATAATAAGCGGAAGTCTTTTTAAAGTCCGAATAAATGAATAAGCTTGTCACATATTATTACTTTTAAGTGGTATAAGATGTGTTCCTCCAGACAGTAATATAGCCGAATATACTACCTGGGCAAATGCTGCTTTAAATTTTTCCAAAAAGAATCTCCTATAAAGGGATGTTGAAATAAAATTGGAAAAAATAGACTCTAAAGGTAAATTTCATGCTTAGATATTTTTAAATAAGACTAGTTTTGCAAATTCTATGCTTTAAGAAGGTTTATGTTTTTCATTTGGAAAAAGTAAGTAATAATAAGAATATGAAGATTTAGAGAAAATAGCTAAGGAATAAAAAAAGGTATTTTTAGTTCTTAGAAGTTAAATATAGATATTTTAAGAAATCAAAATGCTGGAGAATATTCAGATTATTAAATTTAAAATATTTCTGGAAAAATAACTACTAAAGTGACAGAAATTATCTCTACTGATGAATTCTATGTACATGATGTATAGAGAATCAAAGATTTAGATAAAATCGAAAATGAATTAGATGATTTTGACTTTGATGCTTTCCCAAAATTAAAAGATCCGGTTTCTTCAGGTACTCCTTTTGTAGGCGTTTTTTCAGGAGATGAAAAATTCTATAGAGGAAAGGTCATTAGAAGGCTTTAAGGAAGCAAATATGAGGTCTTCTTTATTGATTATGGATTCTATGATAAGATTAATGTAGAAGATATGTGCAAAATGCCAGAAAAATGGATTAATATACCACCTTTTGCTGTTAAATTAGGACTTGCTTATTGTTAAGGACTTCCAGATAAACACTCATTGGCAGTTGAAAGCGATGAAAGCTTCAAAGATTTAGTTTGGGAACAAAAAATGGACTTTTAGTATGTTTATTAAGATAATAATGGAACTAAATTTGCTGTAGTGACTAAATAAGGAGTTAATGATATTAATTAAAGTGTTAATTTTAAGCTTATCTAAAAAGGACTTATTAGGTTAAATGAGAATGTTAATTTACCAGAATAATATTAGAAATGGAAAGATGAAGAAGAATTTGTTTCGGAAAAAAAAGTTGGACTTTGGGCTTTTGATACTTAGTTTGGATAAGAAGATGATTGATATTTGTTTTATTTAGTATTTTTTTTTATTATTAATTTTAAATAATATTAAAATAATTTTATTTTTAAAAATTATAAATAAATAATAAATATTATAAAAAATATATATATATTTATATAAATATATTATTATTATTATTGATTTATAATATAAATTAATAGTTAATTTTAAATTTTAATATTAGAATTTTTATTTTTTTATATAAGTTTATATAATGTTTTTTTTTATTATATTTTTTAATATAAAATAGATTAATTTATATATTTTTATTTTTATTTTTAGGTTTTGTTTATAAATAAATATTAAAAAAAAAAAAATTATTAAAGTATGAAAATTATGATTGAATATAATTATTATTGTATATAGTATAATTTTTGTATATTTTATATAAAAAATTTAAGAAAAATAAATAAATAAAATTAAAAAAATATTTTATTTAAATATATAAATTTATAAAATAAAAATGTCTTCTTCTAAAGCTGCATTTACAATGATTTTCTATATAATATAAGATGATTTAGATGATATTAATTAACCTAATGCGTTTGGGTATAAAAATAAAAAATTTTGAAAATGATTTATAATTTTATTTTTTTAAAAATAAATAAATTATAATTTAAAAAAAATAGAATTTAGAAAAATATAGAAGATATATCGTATACAGATATAGTTGAAAATTTCCCAGTTTAAGGATAATATATATTTAGATATAGATAGAAAATATAAAATAATAAAGTATGGGTAGATTTAAATACAAATATAAATAAAATACCAATATTTGAAAATAAAATTTTAATAAAAGCTTAAAGAATTTCATGGAATAAAAATACAAAATGTAAAATAATTATATATATTAAAATATAAATAGATAAATATATATATTATAATATATATAAATATATATATATATATATTTTATATATTTATATGCATATATATATATTATATTTATTTTTTTATTTTTGTTTTATTCATATTTTGTTTATTATTTAAAAGAAACTTCTTTAGAAAATATATAAAGTTAAAAAAATGTTTAATAATAATATAAATAATTTTCTAAATCATCTGTAGTTTTACCAATTTAAAATCCATAACCATAAAATGATAAAAATAATAATTCTAAACTTTAATCATAATAGCCAATATAAACTAATTCTAATGTATTTTATTTATAATTTTTTTTTTTTTTCATAATTAAATTCTTTTTTATAGAATTTTAATCTTTTAGACGATTTTGATATTTTAACAAAATAATAAAATAATAATTAACATAATTAATTTGGAAATGCTAAGTCAAATTTTTAAAATGATAATATTTTCGATTTACCTAATTAATAATAGGCATAAAATAAAAAAAAATCGAATTTTGATGATTTATTAAATTTTTGATTTTTTTTTAGTTATTAATAATAACTAAAGAATTTATTTATTAAAAATTTGTATTTCTTAATATTTTTTTTTTAAAAAAAAAATAAAATTTATTATATATTTAATATATATATAAATTTTAAAATTCTCTAAAAATTAATGAAAATTCATAATTTTATCATCTTAAGTATCTAAAATAAATATCAGCTTCATGCTATTTCATTTTCAATTTATTCATTATATTTTTTTTTTTCATAATAATTTTAGGAATATATAAATTAATATTTTACGTCAAAATATTATTTATCGTATATAAATTTTCTAAGAATATATATAAAATTTATTTCGTATTTAAAAGATATATCTTCAAAAAATCTAATTTAATTTTTAAACAATTTATAAAATTCTAGAATGTATTTAATTAAATTATATTTAACATTATTATCAAGGAGTGGGAACATAAACTTAATTTATATTACGTTTGTATATATTTGTTTTTTAATAAATATATTATTTTTTAACATAGTATATTTTTGTATTTTCCTGTATTTTTATTTATTATAAAAAAAAGGTATGAAAAATTTAATTATGTTCTTTTTTTTTGATTATTTTTTTTTAAAATAATCATAAAATAATCAATAATAATAAGTAATATATATATTTGTATTAATATATATAATGTTTTTATTAATTTTATTATCAAAATTATTAAATATATAAATTTAATATACTTTTATGTTTATTATTAAATATTTTATTATTCTTTTTGTTTATAAAAGTATTAATTTTTTGTTTGCTTATGAATAATCTATTATTTTTAAATCGTAAGTTATGGTTTTTTATATTGAGAAATAAATTTAAAATTATTATATACTTTTTATTGCTTATAAGTTTGATTTTTATTAATTTTTATAAGAATTTTATATTTGTATTTAAGAAAATTTGTAATAAAATTATATTTGTTTTTATAAATTAATTAAATATATTTTTTTTATTTTAATTAATAAATTATTTATTAAATATATAAATGAAAACATAATAGAATTTAATTTAATTTTAAAAATAAATTTAATATGAATATTTTTTTTATTAATATTTAATAACTATTAATATAATATTTTTTTAATAATCATATTATAATTTTGTAATTTATAAATTTCAATTTTTTATATTTAAATATTAAAAAAATATCATTTCAAAATGATTGAAGATGAAGATAATCATAAGAATAGAAACCAATAAAATAATCTATTCAATTAAAATTAAAATGGCTTTTTATATTAAATTGAAAATGAAGATTTAAAATAAAACTAAGATTAAATATAATAAGATAATTTAAATGAGTTTACTTAAAATTAAGAAGTATTCAATTTTTCATAAATAATAAAAAAAAAATAAGCAAAATGCATTTAATTATATTTTTATAATAAAATTTGATTTTCCTAAATATGAAAAATTATATAGAGATTATATTAAAAAAATTTAAAATAAAAATACAATATATAAGAATACGATTGACTTTATATATTAAATTAAAATAATAATTCAATATTAAAAAAATAAATTATATATTATTTTATTATTTAAGGACTAATAAGAATAGAGCATTATATCTGAGAAATAAAGAATATATAGAGAAAGAAATGAAGTAAAAAATATATATATATTTTTTATATATATATTTTTTATAAGTAAAAATAAAAAAAAAAACATAGAGAATATATAGATTATAAGAAATGAAACCTTTTCCAGAAAATTAAGAGGATATTATAGATTATTTATAAGAAAGAATATAATAAGCTGAAGTAAAGAAAAAAAAAAAAATAAAAATATAATAAAAAATAAAAGCAAGCAATATTTGATTTAAATAAATTTTTAGAAGAAGAAGATTAAGGAAAATAATAATTAATAAATGATCTTAAAAAAACATAATAAATAAACTAAATATAGAATTGTGAATAAACTACTATATAATAAGTATATTTTTTATATTTAAAAATTTAAATGTATATAAAAATATAATTATACTATATATATATATATAAATATATTTATTTATGTATATATATATCTATTTATTTATATATTACAATTTTTTTTATTTTTTAGTGTATTCTATTTACATTAATTTTTTTATTTATTATTATTTATAAATATTTATTTTTTTTTATTTTATTTTATTTAATTTGATTTTTAAAATAAATTAATTAAAAATAAATCAAAATTAAAATTAATATTTCATATTTATACCTATATATATTTTAAATTAAAGAAAATATAATAAGAAATAAAATAATAGCTTGAATATGCTGTATAATAAAAAATAATAGTTGAAAAAGAAAAATAATAAATAAAACAATAATTAGAAAATGAAAAAATGAAAAATGAAGAATTATTAGAGTAAAAAGAATAATAATTTTTACAAATACAATCTTTTTAAATTTAATAAGAAGAATATTAAATTATAAATTTTTAATTATAATAATAGTATAATATATTGTTAGAAAAAGAAAAAAATTATATAGAAACATCTTAAGATTTTAAAATTAAATAACTAGAAATAGATTTATAGGAGGCTAAATCTTTTCTAAATAAGTTATAAGTATTTAAATATAAATATTTTTTTATTCTTTTAAAAAAGGAAGTCAAAAACGCTTTTAATAAATATACTAATAATAATAAAAGTGTATATAAAAGCTTTATTACTTAAGATGGAAATGAAGAAAAGTATTAAAGTTCAAATAAATAATAAAAATATTGTAAAGCTTAAAAAAAGATGATTAAGAAGATGATTATTGGTATATTGATTATTAGAAATGTAATTATAAATTTAAATTTAATTTTTTTTTAATATTTTAAAAGATAACAATACAAAATTATAGTAATAACATATAAAAAATTAATTTGAAAGTAATATTTATTTTTTTACAAATATATATAAATATAAGTATAAATATATAAATATATATATATATATATATATCTATATATATATTTATATATATATAGGTAATAATTGATAAATTAAAGATTTTTTTTTCATTTTTTTATGTTTTTCTTATTATAATAAATTAATAAACAATCTAAAAACTAAAAATAAAACTCAATTATTTTTCTAAATTCATTAATTTATAAAAAATAATTTTTATTTATAAATGTTTATTTTAAAATAATATTTAATTTAAAATAAAAATAAAATTATTAAATATAATATGGATAATATTTAAAAAAGACTAAAAATAATGATATTATATACATCCCGCAAAACCAACTCTATTATTTTAAAAAATCATATAAAATCCAATTAAACTTAATCTAGAAGTCCCGAAGAAAAAACTCTTATATTTAATCTAGACTAACCAAAAAAACAATTTTAAATAAAGAATTTATTTTTAAAATCTAAAAAAAGTGAAAACTCTCTGTTAACAGAACATTTATAAACTACTCTTACAGAAAATCATTCATAATATTTTTTATAAAAGATTCCTAAAAAAACTGAAAAAAACAAACATTAAAAATCGTCTAGAAAAGCCTTTTTTTCCCCTTTTAAAAACGATTTATATTATTCTAGTGTTAATAAATAAAAAAGTAAGGATACTTAAATTCAAGAAAATAATAAAAAAAGTAAATTTGTAATGAATTCTCCTTATTAAAAAGATAATAAGTAATTTTTTACTCAATAATAATAAGACGACGAAACGGAAGAATAAATTGTCAAAAAAACTGAAAATGAAGAATAGGAAGACTCCAATAATAAATCAGAAACATTCAATATTTATGGAGACTTTCACAATTTTTAGAAAAATATATAAAAGAAATACTTATATAGTTTACATCGGATATAAGTTTCTAAATATATATTAAATTATATAAAATTCGAGACAAATAAGACTACAAAAATAATAAACTTATCAGCGGAAAAGAATATTGAAATAAAAAAATAGACTTTTTTTTAACTTTCTGAATAATCTATATCTTCTATAACTAAATTAATACCTTTACTTAATTCAGCTTTAGACTAAATAAAGGACAGGAATTAATTAGATGAAATCATTTAGGAAATAAATACCGAAAGTTAGAAATAAAAAAATATGGCAATAGCTGTATTAAGTCAAATGATGTAAGGAAAAATTTTAAAATTAAACAAAAATTTTCAAAAAGCAATAAAAATATATAAATAGGCTAAAAATAATGCCTAAATACCTTTATTTTTTGCTTTAAGACTAAAATGCTATAAAAATTTAGGCGAGTGTTTTTCTGAATTAAAATATTATGAAAATTCGCTTTTTTATTTTAAAAAAATGCTTTATTTTTCTTGGTTTTTAAAAGATAAAAATAGTGAACTGAAAGCCTACGATTTTATAGGAAAATAATATTTTTATTTAGGCTAGTTAGAATTGGCTTAGGTTTTTCATAATAAAATGCTTTAAGGAGAATTCGAAAAAGATGATTCGGATATAAAAAGACTTAATATTGGAAAAATTGAAAATGAAATTAAATAAATAGATACACTAACAAATAAAAAAACATCTTCGTTTTTAATAAGAATAATAAAAAAAAGGAATTCTTTAATTCGATTAAAGTCTCGAATTTCTCATTTCTTCCGAAAGTGATAATGATATGGAAATTCCTGGTTTAGGAATTAAAAAGGAAGAATAAAATTAAAATTAAAAGAAGATTTTCTTTAATAATAATCTAGATAATAGAAAATATTAGAATATTATTAAAAAAGCAAACAGTAATATACATATAGGAGCTGTGGAATTAAAAAAGAAAGAAAATACGCTAAAACTTACATAGAAAATGTAAGTTTTTTCCGCTAAATAAAGCGCAGGATTTTCCGGAAATTTAAAATTTCCTTTTAGATTGAGTCATTTAAGCATAAATAGGGAAATAGATAACTATTAAATATTCGATGGAAGAGTTTAAAAGGTAAAATTTGATTTTAATAGCTTGATTTATGATTAATATGATTAAATTATTAAAAAGAAAATCAAAAAGTGTTTTTTGAAGTTTAAAGATAATATTTTGGTTAGTTTGGCGGATATTTAAATTGCTGTTTAATAAAAAAAATAATAAGAAAAAAATAAAAAAGTTGGGTTTTGTATTATTAATATTTAAAATTAAGTTAGTATGTGATTTTTTTTTTTTTTTATATGTATTTATATTATTAGTGTTTTTTTCTTTATTTCTATTTTAATTTTGTTTACTAAAAATTTAATATTAGATTAATTTTTTTTTTTTTTTTAAATTGGTTTAGAAAATTTTCAATTTATTATATTTTTATATTTGATTTTCTTCTTTTATAAAATAAATATATAACCGTATAAAATATATATTTATAACCTAAAACTATATTTTAGCTACTCAATATTTTTTACTTATGGGTTAAATTAATACTCTTATTGTGTATTTATTAATCACAATATGTGTTTTTTATATTAAAAAATGATTGCCCTTAAAAGTTTATGTTCAGCCACAATATACTTTTAAAATCTAAATTAAATGTTTAATTTTCAATATATTATTTTTATTTCTTTGTTTTTTAAAAACTCAATAAAAATTGTATAATTTTTATAGTTATTTAAAATGTATATTTTTTATAGTTATTTTTATTAAAAATCAAATTCTAAATTATTAGCTTACTTTAAATTAATAGATAAATAAAATAAATAAATATAAAAAATATGATATTTGTAAAGAAAAAAATATTATATATATTCTATGTATATTTAGTTTATTAATATATATGTATACATTACTAGTTTTTTGGATATTATTCAAAAAAAAAATATTAAATTTTTTTATTTTCTGAATAAAATAATCTATATAAAATTTTATTATTGTAATAAAAAAAAATTAATAATAATTAAAGATTTTTACAAAAATAAATAATATTTAATTACAAACTTATAAATCATTAAAAATATTATATTAAAATATTTTATTTTTATATGATTATCTATTAAAATTTTATAAAATAAAAATTTATTAATTCAAAAAATAATAAGAATAATAAATAATGTTTAATTTTTTTTTTGATTATTAATAATAAAACATTATTTTATTTAAATATAAAAATATTATCTTTTAATATTTTTTATTTATCATAAAAAAAAAATTAATAAAAATTCTTATTTTATTTTATATGAAAAATATCTAAAATAATATTCATTATTATCAAAGAAACAATAAAATATATATAATAATGGGAAATAATGCTTCTAAAAAAGAAGAAGAGCTAAAAAAATAAAAAGAATTAGAAGAAAAGAAAAGAGATAATGAAGATAAACAAAAAGCAGAATAATAAAAATAAATTGATATAGCTGTACGTTTTTTGGCTTAGCCTAGTGTATAGAAAACTCCGGAAATAGAAAAAAGGATATTTTTAAGAAAAAAAGGTAAAAAAATAAAATAATTTATATTATATAAATAAATGAAAAGGGTTATCACATGATTAAATAGATAAAGCTTTTTAATTGTATCAAAATAAATAAATTGAAAGTAATAACGAAAATAATAAATAAGAATAATAATAAAATAATGATAAATAAGAATAAAAAGTATAAATAAAAACTAGTTAATAGTAATAAGAGAGTAAACAAATATATATATATAAATATAAATATATATTTATAAATATATATTAATTATTTAGGTTTATAATAAAAACTTCTAATTGCAAAATAATAGGGATTCCTAAGTTTAAGAAATGAGAATATAGAAGAATTAAATCCAGAAATTTTCGATGTAGAAAATTTAAAATAATTAATACTTTCTTAAAATCCTTTAAATAGAATTCCTTCATAAATAGGTTTATTTTTTAAATAAATTAAATATAATTTTAATTTTTATAGGAAATTTAAAAACTTAACTTTATTGCATTTACATAATTGTGGATTATTTGATAATTAAATATGTAATGAAATATAAAATCTTAATTTTTTAGTTGAATTTAATATTTCTAAAAATAAATTAACTCATATTAATTTTGTAATTAATTTACCTAATTTATAAAAACTTGATGCTTCTGATAATTAAATTTTAGAAATTAATGAAGAAGTATAAAAATTACATATTTATATAGAAAATAATATATTTATTATTTTTATTTATGTTAGATTGATAAATGTTTAAAATTATAAAGTTTAACTTTAAGAAATAATAATATTTCCCTTATTCCTAAATCAATCACTAATTTATAAAATTTGAAAATTTTTGTATATTTTATATATTTATAAAATTTATTAATTTTAATTATTTTTTAGATAATATAAGGAAATAATTTAGATTAAGAAACAGTTGAAATTATGAAAAATAAAGGAATTCAAGGATTATTTTAATACTTAAAAGAAACATATTGAAAAAAAATATATATTTGTCTTATTTTTATGTGAGAGTGTATGTATATGTTTATTTTTTTTATAATAATCTATTTTATGTTATAAAAAACAAAAAAAATACTATAAATAATACAATAATTTTTTTGTTAATTAAAATAGATATTTTTTAATTTAATATTTATATATATATAAATAAAAATGTGTTAAAATAATAAATTTTAAAATTTTCTAAAGCAATTTAATATAGTAATAGGTATAGTTTTAGTAGCTTTCGGAATTTTCGCATTTTTTAATATAAAATTAGCTTTAGATTAACCTTGGTTAGTATTTTAACCAATATATTCAATATTATTTGGAATAATATTAATTTTATCGGAATTTTAATATGAATTAATAAAAAACAATCTAAATTTCTTATCAAATTATTTCGGAAGAGGAATATATATTATTTATTTAGCAACTATAATTTGCGGAAATTTAGAAAATGAAAAATTATTAAAAATAATTTCATTAATATTATCAGCAATAATGCTTTTTATAGGAATTATTTACTGTTGTATGTATTTTTGTAGTAAAAATTAAAACGATTCTAATTAAACTGAAAGTAATAATTAATCGGTTTGATTTATTTAAGAATTTTTATGTTTTTAATATATATATGTATATATATGTAAATAAATATTTATATATATATAATAAATTGTTTTATTTTTATATGAAGTAATATATTAATAATATAATAATAAAAATATATAAAGATATTTATAAATTTATAAATACTCTTTAAAATAAATATATATTTTTTGTTTTTATAATGGGTTAATATATTTAAATATTAAATTATTTATTTTTTATTCTTGATAGAAAACTTATATATTTAAATTTTTAATATTTAAATGAATGTATATTATACTTTATATTATAAATTATTAAATATATGTATTTAATTAAATATAAAAAAAAATTTAAATATAATATTTAAAAATTATAGCTAATAATTATTATTCCAGTATAAAATTCATATTTAATAATTTATAATTACTAACATAAAAATAAATTTTAAAAATATGTATATAAAAAAAAAAAAATATTTAAATATATATTAATATATATATAATATTATTTATATAAAGTTAATATACTATTTATTTATATTATTTATTATTATTTTTAATATAAAAGTTAATTAAATAATTATTTTACTATTATTATTTATCTATTTTTTTTATTTTTTTATATATAAATAAAAAACAACTTTAGTATTTACCTCAATTTAATATATTAATTAATTTATTTATTAAATTAAATATATATGATTTTTATAAAAACATCGAATAGAAATTTGAAATTTTCATTTATATTTATATATTAAAGTAAATAATTTTAAATTTAATTTATTTTTAAAAAATATATATATAACAAAAAATTTATTTAAAGAAAAAAAAATTTTGCTATTTTAATTAATTTATATATATATATATATATATATGTATAATTTAAATATAAATAAAATATAGTATAAATTTTATAAATATTAAAAAATAAAAATTATGATAAAAGGTCAATCATATTTATAAATTTAAGATATATAAAATGTTGTAAAAAAAGATGAATAATTAGCAAAATGGGAAGATGCATTAGATTTTAGACTAAAAAACATGGTTTTAAACACCGATACATAATAATAATTTAGTCTATTTTGTAATCTAGAAGAACTTTCAGAATATGGAACTGGTTTACGTCTTTTTTTTGAATTTATTAAATATTCTTCACTAGTTTTCTTGATTATGTTCATAATAAGTATCCCCGCAATTTACTAAAACCTTAATGGAGGTTCATTAGATAGAATAAAGTTTAATATAAACCTTTTAAGCACACTTTCTTTATCTAATCAAACAGAATTAATAGTTGAAACACCTCCAAATAACGCGACAGCTGAATAATTATAACAAGTGAAAATTTCAAACGCTTTAAAAATAGATTAATATGTAGAAGAAACAGTAAATAATAATAAATATATATATATATATATATATTTTTCAAAAAAAAAGAAAAAAAAATTAAAATGGGTAACAATCCCTGATTTAACATATTCTTTAGTATTTTTATTATTTACTATATGGTTTTAATATTTTTCCAAAAAAACTGTAAAAAATATAGAATAAAAATTCAATTATCCATCAACATATGCAATAAATGTAAAAGGATTTCCTCAAGATTTAATTAACCCGAAATATATTTCAGCTCATTTTAAAGAAAAATTTAATGCGAATGTTTATGAGTGTTTTTTGGCCAGAAATTACGAAAATACTCTTTTTTTGCATAAAGAAGAGGCGAATTTGATTGATTTAATAAATTAAGAAAAGGCTAGGCTCAAATTTAAAGGAATTAATCAATAATAAAGTAAGCAATTAATGATTTATGAGAAAAAGTTACAAGATTTAAGCCTTAAAATACTTGAAATTGTGAAGAATAAATTATCGAAAAAAGTAAGCAATAACGAGGTATTTTTTTAACATAATGAATATCCATCCTTAAGTGCATATTTAATATTTGATAATATAGAAGATAAGAAAAAAGTAAGTAAAGAAATTTAAAAAATACCTAATTTTTCATGTTGTGGAGATTATCCAGATAAATTATTATTTAATTATAGGGGATAACTTTATCCTTTATAAATAAATTTAAAACCTGATGAACCTTCAAACATAAAATGGGAAAACTTAGAAGTTACACCAAGTAAAAAATATACATATTTATATATATATAATTATATATATATTAGTATAAAGATCTTTTCGTGGTTTATTGTCTGTATTTTTAGTATTTTTAGTTATGATATTTACTTTTATAATAGTTATGTTAGCTAATATAGCTAAACCTTTTAGTATTGATAAATGTACTAACCATAACATATCATTATCTGAAGCTTAATAAAATTTTGAAAATAAAAATTGTTATTGTTCGCAGCTTAATTTTTCAGAAGTTACTCAAGATTAAACAATATAAAATTTATGTTGGGATACTTGGGCAAGATACGCATATACCTATGTTTTGACTTTATTTACTGGTTTAGTAATTATGGTTGTTAATTTTTTTATTTAAAAAATTATAAACTCATTAGCCGAATTTAAAAGGTGTTCAACTATAACTATGTAAATAACTAATACTGTTACTAAAGCATTTATAGCTATTTTTATTAATACAGCTATTATTACAACTATAGTAAAAATATATAAATATATATATATATATATATATATATATATATATATATTTATTTATATATATTTATTTAATTATATATATATAGTTATAAGCAGATATTTATGGAATGATACCTGCATTATTCATATCTGAACCTATACCTCCCCTTAAGGAATATCAATATGAAAAAAAATAAACCTTCTCTCCTGATTTCGATAGAAGTTGGTATAATACAGTTGGTTCTAAGATAACTACAACTATGTTTTTTTTTATTTTTACTCATTTTATATTCTAATTTTTAATTGTTCCTTTTTAAGAAAACTCTCGAGTTCTCAAAACCAAAAAATTAATTGGTATAGATATTTAAAAAGCTGCCAATAATGCAATAATTGGTCCTTAGTTTACAATTATTTCTTATTACTCGTTAGTTTTAAATGTAATTTTTACCTGTCTTTTTTATTCTTCCGGAATGCCAATTTTACTTTTGGTAGGATTTATTACTTTAGGGATATAATACTGGATTTATAAATATAGACTTTTAAGAATATGTAGAAGACCACCTACTTATGATAGTTATTTGAATAAAAGAATAGTTTAAATATTACCTTTTTCGTTAATTTTTCATCTTTTAATAGGATTATATATGTATGGAAATCCAGCAATGTTTACAAGGACTTCAAATTAGATTTAATTAAATTATTCTTATATTTTAATTGAAGGGAATAATGTTTGGAATACTAGTATAAGTATTAAGGAAAATAATATTATTTAAGAAAGAGCTTATAATATTCTATATTTATTTATTTTATTGTTAATTATTTCAGGGATTGTGTGTATTAATATGACCATTTCAAATTTTTTAAAGGTAATATATAATGCTTGCTTTAAAAGAAATAAAGTATTAGAGGTAAAGAAAAAAAAACCTTTTAATGAAGAATTAGAGGATATTTAAAAAAGAATGATTGCGACATACAATATAAGGGCTAATAGGGAATATAGATATATTATAGAAGCTATTGATATTGAAAAATAAAGTGATATTATTAATTATCACAAAAAAAATATGAATAAAATTAAAACATAAAAAATTAATATAAAATGAAGAATAATTTATATAATAAATAAGAAACAAAATAAAAATCATATATATATATATATTACTTTTAAACATTTATTTTTTCTGTAATATATTTGTTTTTTTTAATAATATATAGACAAAAATCAATTCAAATAAAAAATATAGATATAATGACTTTTATTAAAATTAAGTTTTTTGTTTAAAAAAAATGAAATAATAAGATTTAAATTTTATTTATTTTTTTTATTAATTTTGTTTGAAAAAAATAAAATATATTTTAATAAAACTATTTTAGTTTAGAAATTTAAAATATTATTTTTCTTATAATTAAAGATCTTTTATAAATAGAAAATTATGTATGGCTTTAATATAAAAATAATTGTTTATAGAACCAAAATAAAAATAAATAATTCAGTTTAAGAAAATTATTTATTTATGTATTTGTTAAATATATTTATTATTTATAAAATTTATATTATAATTATTTATTATGAATTTATTTTATAAATAAAATTCAATTTAAATAGCCTTATCTTTTTTTTATATATTAATTATTTTATTTATAAAAAAAAAGTTAAAATAATTATTATAAATATATAAATGATGATAAATATTATTTTATATATAATATTAAATTAAAAAATATTAATTTATATAATATTTATATGATTGAATAAATATTATTTAATTTTTTTTTAATTTTATATTATTATTTATATATTTTTAAATTATTTATTTAATACTTAATATAAAGTTCGATATTATTAATATAATTATTTTAAAAAATAATCTTAATATTTTAATATTTTAAAAAATTTTAAATATTTATAATTTTTTAGTTTAGTTAAAATATTAATTTTTATTTCAATTTCTGTTATTATTTTATTTAAAAAAAAATCAATTTTTTTATTTAAAATTTTATCTTACTTCATTACAAATTATACTTTTTATAAATTTAATAAAATTAATATCAAATAAAAAAATAATTATACGTTAAATTAATTTTTTTAAAAAATATTTAAATATTTTTTTATGTGAAGGTAAATATTACATTTATTAATTTAATTTTGTTTATATATTTTTTTATTATATAATATTTTTGTTTTATTAAATATTTAAATAAAAATTTTAGAATATATAATTTTTATTTAATTTTGTAATTTTTTTTGTTTATCAATCTTCCTTTATTTTTATATTTTTATATTACTAATTTTTTTAAATAATTATTGTTATTATATATTTTGATACTTTAAAATAAACGAAATTTTCTAAGATATATATTTTTTTTAATTAATTTATATCAATTTTTTTTTTTTTTAAAAAAAAAAAATAGTTAATTGTTAATTAAAAAAATAACTTTCATAGAAAAGATAAATAAAAAATAAAAAAATAAAAAAAGTGATTGAAAAGCCTTAACTTTAATCTAATTTTTTAGATTTTTTGAGTTTTGTAAATTTAGAATAAATCCAAAAATTTACTAAAAAAACAACATAAAAATATAATTAAAAAGCACTTTTATTAAATAATAGCCAACCTTCCTAAATAAAAAATCCATTTACAAATAAAAAACAAAAAAAAACTGTGCTGAATAATTATTAGAAAATCAAAATTCCTGTCCTTCAAATTATAATTTATTTTAATAAGAAAAACCTTTAGATAATTAATAAAAAAGTTTAATAAATAAAAACATATTTCACTATCCAAATTAATAATTAAAGATAATTTTAAATAAAAGAAATAAACGAAATAAAAGCAACAAAATTCATAAAGAATATAATATTTATTCAAATAAACTAAATTATAAAGATGAACAATAGTTTAAAAAAACCAAAAAAAAAACTTTGGGATAAATTTAAAAAATATATATATCAAATAGTTGTTAAAAGAATCAATCATTTGATAATTAATAATCAATAACATTAAAAAATAAAAATTTTTAAACTTAATAATAATAAGAAAATAAGAAAAGCGAAATAAAATATATATATTAGTTAAATACTATGAATACATAAGATTATATAAATTTAGACTTAAACCCATATTCTCATTTGCAATATTAATAAAATAAAAAAGAAACAAAAAAAAATCCTTTTATAAAAACAGCCTATTAAAAATTATAAAATGGTTATTAAATGTAATAAAATTATTATTATTTTTTAAAAAAATAAATAAAATAAAAATAAAAAATAAAATATAAGCAAGAAACATAAAAAATAAAAGAACTTTACTTATGGACCAAAACTATTGTAATTATTTACATCTTGTTAGGATTCAGCTGAATATAATTAATAATATAAAGATATTTTATTTGTATTTTTTTTTAAAAATAAATATAATACATATAATATAATATTTTATTTTATTTATTTTTCTTTAAAAAAAAAAGACAAATGAAAAATCTGAAAATTGTAAAGCTTCTTTAAATGAAATTTATAATAAGAAAAAAAGTTATTTATCCTAAAGATCTTCTTCTTAAGTTATTTTACCTTAATAAAAATAAATTAATTATTCTGATTTTTAAATAAAATAAGAAAATGATAAATTATATGAAATTCAATAGTTTTTAATTACATAATAAAATATAGACATGATTTATTTTAATGATTATAAGTACTTAATTATAATCTAAATTTTTTACTAGCAATCTTTTTTTTTATTTAAAAATAAAAAAGTAATAATATGTCTCGTAATTAAAATTTTGTTTGTAATATAAAAAATCCTTATTATTTTAATATTGATGATATATAATAAGTATTTTTTTTAAATAATATATTTTTTTTTTTTAATTTTTTTTTTAGAATTAATATAATGTAATTGAATATAATATATAGTAATAAATATAAGATTTGCATAATTTAAGTTCTTAATATTTTTCTGATTCTAAATAATTTTCTCAATGGAAAAAAGTATTTTATTATATATTAAAAAATATTAAGGTTTAAGTTTATTATTAAATATAGGAAATGCAAGATAAATTAAAATAAATTAATAAGTTTAATAATTAAATATAATTTTTTGATAAGAAGCAACTTATAAATTATGTTGTATGATAGATTACTTTATTATTTTGTTTAATAAGTTTTTAAAAATAAAATTTTCTTGTCTATACATATACATCTATATCTTTTTAATATTTTAAAATTAATGCATGATTTCAAATAAAATTAATTATTTAAATATATAAAATATAAAAAATAAAAATTATATTTAAAAAATAAATATAAATAACTAAAAATAATATATTATAAATATTTTATTTCAATCAGAACTTTCATTGGATAATTATTTAATTAAAAATACTGTTTTTTTTACATTAATTTTATTTTAAAATTATATAAAAATAAAAAATTTGGGTAATAGAAATTAATTTACACAAATAGATAATTTTTTATTTTAAATAATATAAATTAAAATCTATATAATTTTTTTTAAAAAAAAGTTTATTTTTATTTATTCAATGTATATTTAATTAATCTTTTTTTTTCTAAATTATCAAACTTTTTAGTTTTAATGATTTTATTTAATAATTATTTAAAAAAAAAAACTAAATTATTTATTATAGATAATTAAAAAAAAAAAAAAAATAACTTACATTTTTAATTAATTTTTATAATATTTTCTTATAATTATATCTTCACTTAATTATTAATTATTTTTAAATTAAAAAATATTTAAATAACTTATTAAATAGTATACATATATATTTTTATTAATTTTAAAATTTTAAATAATTTCTCAAATAAAATTTTTTAAATAAAAAAAAGAAATAAAAATAAAAATAAAAAATATATTTCTATATTTATTATATATAAAAAGATAAGTAAGTAAATAATACTAAAAAATTTATTTTAAAATAAAAATTAAATAAAATAAAATAAATAAAAATGAGAGGTTCAAATTACGGAACTGTATAATATTCTTAATAAGTATACACAACTTCTGGTCCTTAAGTAACTGAATATTCTTAAGTCTATACAAGCGGAAGTAATACTTAAATTCGTCCCCAAGCCTAGTACCAATACACAAATATACCTGGTCAAGCTTACGATTAATCATATTAAGGAATATATGATGGAGAATAAGTAAAAAGAGCTGGAAAATAAGGAGGATTCCAATAAATAGGTTCAGCAGTCCCCCTTGGTGCTTTAACTGATCCTGATGTAATTACATATACTAATTTATTTATCTTATTTACAAATAAAATAAAATTAGAATGCTAAAGCTGTAGCTAAGAGACTTTTTGAATAATATGATAGATCAAGAAAAGGAAGAATCGATGCAAATGATAGCCTTTCTATGATATAGGATACTTACAAATATTTAAATACTTAAATAAATTTGAATATTGATTATTCAAATTCTTATTAGAGAGTAATTGATACTAACGGAGATAAATAATGCACAATAGAAGATATAGAAAACTTATGTATGAAATATTTATGTGGGGCTGAAACGAAATAATTTGGCGGTGGTGAGAAAGTCAAAAGAGCAGGAAAAAAATAATATCCTTAAGAAATTGAAACTAAATTGAATGTCGTAATAATTTCTTTTTTTTTTAATTTATTATTTTTTTATATGTATAAAGGCGAGAAGATTATTCAAGAAATATGATTAAGATGCTGGTGGTTATTTAGATAGAAATGAAATCAATGAACTCATTAAAGATACTTATAAAGAAATGGGAATGGCTAACTTTGCTCCTTCTTAAGCTGATGTTGCTGTTTGGTTAGATATGGCTGATCTTAATAGAGATAACTAAGTTAGTTAAGATGAATATGAAGATCTTGTTATTAAATCTTTGGTTAAAGCTGGATTTAAAATTGAAAATGCTAATATCGTTTTTTGATTATTATTTTTATTATTTATATTCGATCTATATATGTATTTGTTTGTTTTTTTTGCTTTTTTTTATTCCGTATTTTATTTTTTTATTTTATTCATAAAAATAAATGATTGAATTATTATTAATTTAAGATTAAATAAAACATAAATAAATTAATTCTAATTTAATTTAATTTTATACATTTGTATTTTAAGTTTTTTATAAAATAAATATGTTTTATTTAAATATAAAAAATTATATATATATTTTTTTTCTTCAATTTCGAATTTATAATTAAAATCTATAAAAAATAGATAAATATTTTTTTAAATGAAACATCTATAAGAATAAATATATGATTATAAATAAAATACTTATAATATATTATAATAAAAAATATAAATTGTTTTGAATTTTCTATTTAAAAAAAAAAAATCTAATCTAGATAAAAAAAAAGATATTATTGGTTTATTTTTAATTTTGCCTTTTTATTTGTTTTAGATAGTGTTTTTTAATAAAAAATAAAATAATTATAACAAAATAAATATATATATATATTTATTTATATATATATATATATCTTTTGTAAAATCAATATATAAATAATCAATAATAATTAAAAAATTATTTTTATATATTTCAAAAAAATAATAATAAATAAAAATAATATAAAAATATGTTTCTTTAATTTTAATATATTTTAATATATTCTTCCTCATATTTTTTTTTATATCATTGATTCCCTTTCAGGTCCAGTTCCAATCCAACTTACTGGAACTTTAAGTAATTTTTCAATAGTTTTAATATATTCTTTAGCTTCTTTAGGTAAAGATCTATATGTAGTAATTTTTGAAATATCTTTTTTCCATCTTAAAGTATTAAAAAAAAAATAAAACATAAAAAAATTAAAAAATACCCTTTAAGTTTAATATATTCAACTTAAACTTAAGATAGTTCATCAATAGTTGAAGGCATATATCCGATTTCTTTTCCATCTATCAAATACTTAGTTGCAATTTTTATTTAATCCATTTAATCCAATACATCTAACTTAGTAATATTAATAGATGAAAATTTATTTATCATATTCGAATATCTTAACAAAGGAATATCTAACCATCCACATCTTCTTGGTCTTCCAGTAGTAGTTCCGAATTCTCTTCCTACTTTTCTAAAATGTTCACCATTTTCATCTATAAATTTATATGTGTCTATATTATTTTTATTATAATAAAAAATCACCTTATAATTCAGTAGGGAATGGACCTTCTCCTACCCTAGTTGTATATGCTTTTACTATTCCTACAACTGTTTATATATTTTAAGGCGGAATACCTAATCCTGTGCAAACTCCACCAACAGAAGTTGAAGAAGAAGTTACATAAGGATATGTACCAAAATCAATATCTAATAAACAAGCATTAGCCCCTTCAACAAGTATTCTAAAGTAAAAAATAAAATAAATAAATAAATATATATATATATATATATATATATATATATATATATATATATAATTTACTTTTTTCCTTCTTTCATTTATTTATTTAATAAATAAACTGAATCTACTATCATGTTTTCAGAAAGAAGTCTATCTCTTAATTATTTGAATTCTTTTAATTCATCCTGTTATGGTTATATATCGAAATCTTTAAATTTTTACTATAAATAGTTATATTTTTATTAAAAGGTATCCCAATTTTTCAAATCACCAATTCTTAATCCATATCTGTTCATTTTACTGGCATATGTGGGACCTATTCCTCTTTTGGTAGTTCCCAAAAATTAATCTTTTTTTTATCTTTAAAAAAATAAAAATAAAAAAAATACACTTTTTGATTATTCCTCGTTTTTAGAATCTGCAGCTATAGATAAAGAAGTTACTAAATGAGCTCTGTCTGATAGCATTAATCTTCCTTTATAACATATCTTATCTCTATCGAGTTATTTTAATTCATCGAACATTGTTTGTAAATGAATTACTGTACCATTTCCTAATAAATTTAAAGTCTAAGGATATAATATTCCACATGGGAGTAAATGGAAAGGATATTTTACACCATTTACTATAATTGTATGACCTTTTAATTATATTATATTTCTTAGGATTTTTTTTATTTGTTATACCAGCATTTGCTCCTCCATTGTATCTGGCACATACATCGTATTTTCCGGCTAAAATATCGACTAATTTTCCTTTACCTTCATCACCCCATTAAGAACCTATTTTTATATATTTTTTTTTTTTTTTTGTATGAAATATATACCTACAATTACACATACTTTAGAATTCAAACCATTTAAAAGTTTTGATGAAGAAAATACTGCTTTTTTTAGACTCATGATTTTTAATTAAATTATAGATATGATTAAAATATTTATATTTTATTTAATATATAAATAAATATAATTTGTATTAGACATAAAAAAAGATATATATAAATAAATTATATACTAAGAGTTTTTATTTAAAATATAAACATTATTATTTAATTATATATTTTTTAATTTATATTAAAAAAACAAATAATATTTAATAATAATTAAATAAGCATTTAATTAATTTGATTAAAAAAAAAAAATCATTTTTATTTAAATGATGTGTTAAATATATAAAGAAATATATATGTATAATAAATATATATATATATATTTATATAAATATAAATAATATATTATATATTTATATTATATATAATTTTAAATCTATTAATTATTTATTTTTAATATTTAAATTTTTCTATAAAACTTAATAATCAATGAAGAATATTAATTAGTTAGTATAATTATTTTGACTTTATAAAATACTTATAATAAATAAATTATATTTATCTGAATAATTGATATATTCACTATTTAATAAATAAAATCATTTTAAAATTTTAATTTTTAACTAATATATTTTAAACAATAATTAATTATATTATATTTAAAATATTCAAATATTAATTTTTTTATATTATTTTAAAAAAAATATATTTATATATGTAAAGTTACTATATTAACAATAATTAATTTAAAATATATATATTTTCAAAGCTTATTATAATAATTTTATATTTTATTAAATAAATAATATTAAATAATTGTATAAAATTTTTCAATAAATAATATTTTTTTATAATACATATCTATTTATTCTTTTTCTTACTTCTTATATTTCAATATTATTTTCATTTAATTCACAATCTTTTAAAAAAATATTTAAAACTTAATCTATCCAATTATAAAAATCTTTAGATTTCTAAATAGCTTTTTCCCAATTACTACCTTTAAAATTAGTAGCTTTTTTAATTACATTTTCAACAAAAAATAAAGCGAATTTTCTTCCACACCAATTTTTTATAGATTTCGGTATTAAAGGGATTTTATAATCTACATTAAATATCATTTACAAATAGCATCTTTATGGTCCTAATGGAGTTAAATTCAATACATAATATTTATAATCTAATCTAATATAATTTTTATTTTCTGGAATTTCTAAACCTATTTTATTACAAAATTAAGTATCCTTTGTAAATATATATACATTTTTTATTATTGTTAATATTTTTTTATTTGTTTATATAATTTTTTTTTTTTACATTATGAATAGTTTTCGATACTAACATAATACTTCCTGTTTCATCTAATAGATTATATCCAGCACCTAAAAAGTAACATTCCCTTTTAGAAATCATAGGTACATCCATACAAGCGTAACCGATTTTTGTTGCTTTTCTTATATTATGAACTAATCTTCCTTAGTCTACAAAAGGAACATATTCTTTAAAATATTCAAATTCATTTCCCAAACATAAAATGTTCTTTAATGGTACATCTACTTCGCTTTCCATTTTTAAGCTCATAGATTAATGGTCAGGAAATTAATATAATATTTTTATTTTACTTTTTAAATATCTAAAATCCAATCCTTTTTTTGAATATATATATAAATATATATATATATATATATATATATATATATATATATATATATATATA